CTGGGGAATTCTGGGAGTTGAAGTCCACACATCTTAAAGTGGCCAAGGTTGAGAAACAGTGCTCTAAATGAAGCTGAGGGAAAGAAACAAAGTATCACATTTGGGTACAAGAATTATAAGATTAGTGGGGTGCTGAAAATTAATTCCTGTGGATTATGTATTACATGTGCTTCCCCTTCCTTTGCTACACTGACTTCAGATGGAGGATCTTGAAAGAGAATGAAAAGGAGGTCCCACAAGTCCAAATTCAGTCTCTACTATAATGTATCTTTTTCTTAACCCTCCATCATTTGAACCCAAACATGAATTAGCATTTCAAAAACCTTATTTTTTGTCTGGTATTGCACTCTATAATTTTAGATTTTGTATCTTAAATGTTGGAATCACTACATGCATTGGACAAAATGTGTTTTATTTTGGGTCTAACATGTAGAAGAGAGTTAAAATAAATTCATTGTGAAACTTCAGGGCATAAGCAATGGCTACTCTAAAGTAAAAAGGAATGAACCGCAGTGATCAGAGAGTAATGACTGTATTGCATACTTGTGTTTTTCAAGGTAACTTTACTGAGTTCAACAGTACTTAATTTCCAAGGAAATGTATATAAGCATTATATCCTAATGGAGTTATAAAATTCAAATCTTACCTTCTCTCATACCAAGTGCTCTTTCTCCTTTTTGAAGGTGGCTATCCTGATTTTTTTTTCCTAACAAAAAGGATGCAGTCCTCCATAAAGTCAAATTTAATTAATAGCCTGTGGTGTCAACATTCAGACTGACTTTCCAACTCATTTCTGTTGCTTCTGCATATAGATCACCTTGTGTGTGAGCGTGTGTATGATCTGCTTAATTCCCAAAATATTGCTTGCATATTACATACTGCTTTGAGAGGAAAATTGGAAGGCATTATCACTTGGCAAGTTCCTGAATAAAGCAGTGTAGGTGAGTTGCTCACGCTAGCTGCATTTCTTTCTATGACTGGATTTCTGTAATCAGTTTGGCTATATGGAATTTTTGCTGCTCTTAATAACCAAGCCCAAAATTGTTGACTGCAAAATTCTGGTTCTCTCACAGTCAGTGAGATATAAAGAAAGTTATACTTAAAGAGCTGCTAATCACTATGCAGTATAGTGATCATTTACTGCCAAATTTAAAAGTTGCACATTGCTTTCTGGCATTTGTTTAATTTATTTATTTAATCGATCTGTATAGTTGCCCTATTCAGCAAATGACTCAGGGCATTGTGTATCATTAATAACAGAATAATCAATAAAAACCACAACATATTTAAAAATACAATCCAAAGGAGCAGCATACAAATATATAGGTGCTAGGAAAAAACTCATCCAGGGGGTCATATCACTACTAGATCCAATGTCTGCAGGGGGAAAAAACAGGTCTTCAATGCCTTTTGAATCAATTCAAGATGTTCACTTTGATTATTACAATCCTAAATGATTTGCCAGGTTACTTAACAGATCATCTATGTCATTATGAACCAGTCTAGACATTAAAATTTGCAGATGAGTTTTTTCTAAAGATATGGGTTACTTGGGCATGCTGGAAAGGCCTTCTTGTATTTCATTCCAAAATTGTGGAATTCATTTCCTTTCAGAAAGGGCATGGATACATCTTTTTTAACATAGCCTTTGAATTCCTTTTAATTATGGCCTTTTAACATTGTATTATGATTCCTGAATTATGTTAAGTATTCTGTTTCTAATTTTAATTGGATTGGTATTTTCTAAGGGGCGAATTCATTCATTTCCATTCATTAGCAGAAAATCAGGATAAAAATCCAGTAATCAAATAAGTAAAAACATGGTGAGAGGCCATCTTAGACGACTTTCTCCAATTCCAAGTTCTGAAATTGGACAGTTCGGTTGAGGAAACTACTTCTGCTCTGCAAATAAGAGAAGTGGGGAGTTTTGTTTGGCTATTCAAGGCTTATTAAGAATTCTTCAGACATGTTTTGGACAATTGGAAACATTATGCTTGAACCCATCTAAAGAATGGTGGAATCAGGTATTAAACATACGTTTTCTACAATTAAGTTAATGGAACTGAGAACATATTTAAATTGGTAGGGAAAAGGAAGGATTCTGCACAAGATCAGTTAAGGCTACCTGAATTTACTTTATCTCTCAAAATAGCCAGGAAGAGTTTCTGGGGTTGCTGACTTGCAGACCAGCTATCAAGGGATGTCCTTGTCAGATCTGAAAAGGGCGATAAAAAAACCTCAGCAGACAGATACTGGTTCTCTGCCATTAACACAACAAAGCTGCTAGGCATGATTCGGGATATGCAAAAGTCAATTCCCCCTTAAAGCTCTGTAAACATAACTTGTGATAGAGTGTTTTTTTAAAGCTGCTGATGCACCTCATTGCCTTTCATGCAACATGGTTTGAGTAAGAGACAATTCCTGTGCCTTAGCAAAAGGGGACACAAGTCCTTTGAAAAAGTTCCTACTTTATCAGTTTGCTAAGCACTCCAAATATTTACTGAAGTAGAAAGGCTAACCCTGGTACGCTAAACGACATATCTGGATGTGGTGTAATTTTCATTTTCTTAAAGCTATTTTGGATTAGTCTTGTGCAACAAAATGTTTGCGTTTCTGTCTCTTTCTCTTTCTTTGTGTGTCATTCTCCCATGTTTTTCTTTTTGTTTGCATCTCAACCTCTTCTACTTCACACATTTTGGATTGGGATAGAACCCAACTGTTTAAAAGAGAGCATTAATATTGATAAGCCTAGAGATTTGCTGTGAACTGAATAGGCATAATATAAAACTGTGTCCTTTTTACAGCAATTCAAATATTTTCCTCTGCCTTCCAATTAGCGTTTAGGTGTTCTCGGTTGCACAACGAGTACATGCATGCCGGATAGTTTATTGTGGAATAGAGAGCAGTTGGAGGACATTATGTTTTATTTAGCTTTGCATGATAATTTTACTGTTATATATTTGGAATCAAATGTTTTTATTATTTATTCATAGAACTTACAATTGCTTTTCTCTCTGCAAATGGATGTTCTTGAGATTTTATTTCTCTTCCTGGTCATAATAGATGTAAGTGCCTAATAGCACAAGCATCTAGTTCTATCCTGAATAATCACGGCTGGGCTTTTCTTTTTTCCCTATCCATTCAATCATGTCTGATTCTTGGAGTCTGCCTGGACAAGTCCCTGCAGTTTTCTTGGCAAGGTTTTTCAGAAGTGGT